AGGAGAAGGAGGTGGGGTGTGTGTGTGTGTGTGTGTGTGTAAGAGAGAGAGAGAGAGAGAGGGGGAGGGGGGGCTTGGAGCCGAAGTTTACGGCCCGGTGGGTGACTTACCTCAGGATGGCTGCTGGATGGCTTAGTTTTATAATAATTTTGAATACTTACTCTACTAAACTCCACACAACAAATCCGGGTAACCTGTAGAAAAATGCTTTGTTAATGTTTTCTAGACAAATTATGATCCAATAATTCCACTCTTTTTCCTTTTCCATTCCACAGTTTTTGAACTATTTCAATTCTTAAGATTGTTTAAAACATTGCTGAATCCTTGGATCGATAATGGTAGATCAATCGATGTGCCAATGGATTGCAAAACCATGGACCGTCATGCCACGTGTCGATCGAAACACTAAGGGGATCTGCGGTAGTGTACAAGAGCAATTACGGTCGGATTGAATATTGAAAAGGCCGTATGCTATTGTGCCTATGCTCTAAGACTTGGGGCATATATACCCTCACCTCTCCTATGCAGTTTCTGGAAACAGTACAGACTCTGCGCACACCAGAAGGGTTTCTCGATCAGAATGAGAAAAAAAAATTGGTACGTGGCAGCTGTAAGCATATAACCATTTTCTCTCTTCTTCTACTTCTTCTTCTTCTTCTTCCTCCTCCTCCTCCTCCTCCTCGGCCTCCTTTCTCCTTCTCTGCCTCCTCTTGCTGTTCCTTCTCCGCATCTTGCTCTTCCTTTTCTTTCTCCTTCTGTTGTTTCTTTCCCGTTCTCTTCTCCCTCCTTTTCCCCCTTCAGACCCTTCTTATGCATCTCTTCTCCTGCTTCATTCACCTCTTCTTAGTCTTCCATCCACGGCTGTAATCCCCTGTGAGCAACACACCTCTGTGTAATGAAGCCTGCAGATTCTCAGTGGACTGTACATTGGAATGAGGGCGAAGCTCGGGGCTTGCCTCGGTTGGGTCGCGTCGTAGGTTAGATTCGTAATTTTGTTTGGCTGAGGGCTAACCGAGAGACCTATCTGTAAGGAAAATTCGTGATGGACATATCTGCAAATTCGGGAAAATACAGGCCCGTACTAACTGAATTTCCTACAACTACCCTAACTGCGTATAGCAGGCCCGGGCTACCCCTAGAACAGACAGGCCCTATGGGCCTATTCTGAATAGACGGTCCTATAGCCTATAGCCGGGTCCGGTAGAGGCCGAGAGGCCGAAACAAAAATTGTACCGGTCGGTCAGTCAGTCCGGTCTAGGTCGAGTCTAGGCTAGTTAGAGTCTATAGATAGATTGGGCACATCGGTTCAGGGCTTTTTGGCAGTTGGTACCGTGTACATCGCTGCTGCACTACGCGTGAACCGGAAGTGGTGTCGGCTCAGCGTGGAAGGAGACGGGCATAGCCAGACCTTCGGAGTGCAGGCCATAGCTGGGACCTGCGCTGTACTCTGCCAGCACGCAGGGGCTGACAGAGGTCTGGGTTATCGATGTCTGCTGGAGGCGAGAGAGATTGGTGCCCTGCTGGACCCTCCTCCGGAGTGGGGTCCCAAAGGTTTTGCGCTGCAGCCATAGCTGCAGTTTCTTCAACTCAGAGGTCATCTTGTCAGGGTTTGGTGGCGCTGCTGCAGACTTCCATCCGGGAAGTCTTCCGACACTTCGTCATCATTAGATACAGTGGTGCTGGTCTTCTTCTTCATCCTCTGAGTGGCGCTTGGCCTCAGAGGCCTGTTTCAGGGTGGCGCTGTCCTCAGAAGGCTGTATCTGGTCAGGGACTCAGGGAGTGTTACGGGTGCTAATCAGGGTTGGGGAGTGAAGCGCTGCTCATTCTGAGCAGCGCACTGTAGTACTAAGGTTATCCTGACAATTCGAGACTCTGAGTTTAATAAACAGTGTGATACTGTGTTTGGACTATCATCGTTTCAGTGTTCTCTGGATGTGATCTGCTCGGCTTTTCTCTATGACTGGTTGTGAGGATTGAATGGAGTGAATTGCACTTTCAGTGTACCCTGTCATATCGCATGGTGAAGTCTTCTGCTGTGTTTATCTCTCCCTATGCGGTGTGATACTCCTATCCTCTCCCCTTCCTTCTGTGTATGTATGGGCATACCTGGAAGTCTATGTGAGTGAGTGTTGGCCTACAGGCAACGAACAACCAGAATCATAACAGTTGGTATCGGAGCAATTGGATCTAGGCTCTGGAGCGATTGATGAGTTGGAGCACCCATCATCATCTGGCGAGATATTGGAGTTGAGTTTCATGGCGATTCATCATCTAAGGGTTGTTGTCAGTGAGGGTGATGGTGGTGAGTGTGTGGCGAGAAGTAACAGGCATAGGGTGACTCACTCCTGACTGGGATTGTGCAGGAGTGGCTGGCGATTGATACTCAGAGGCCTGGGAGGCTATGAGAGGCTAATTATAGCCTGGCGATTCACCTGGAGGTTGGCGAGTGTGAAGGAAGTGATCCCAGGAGGTTGCGATTGTGGAATTGGGTCAGGATCCCCAATTTCCAGGCAGCGCAGTACAGGGTGATGTGGCGCTTCACTGACTTTGTCAGTAATTGGCACCTGGGACTCTAAATTCTCTGAATCTGTCAGTTGGAGGTGAAGCGCCTAAGGGAAATCTACAGGATCACCAAGTTTGAGGCAATTTGGTACATGGGAACACTGGAAACTGTCAGGAGATGAAACTGGCGAGATGGGGTTGACCAGTCAGCCATAGCCAGGGTTTCATGCATCTTCCTCATATTTGACCCTGAAGTAAGTGTGTTCCTTACTCCATCCTGAGTGGCGATTCTGGGGCTATTTTTAGAACAGTGAAAAATGGTCTGTCTGTCAGGTGACAGTTGAAAATCGAAATTCAGACTGTGGGACAGCCATATCCAACTTCCCCTACCTATCTTCTTTGACTTCTACTAACCCTGTTTGACCTTCCCTCTGGCTCATATTTCATCTGGGACTGCTCTACAGTATTGTGATTCATACTGTGCAGTGAATTGGTGGATTTAGGGGTCTACTGTCAGTGATAATGCAAAATTGAATTATGCGCTGACATAGCCAAAGCTAGGCTAGACTAGGGTCAGTCATAACTTTGATTCTGTCCGTTAGAATTCAGTTCTGTCGGTCCCTGGTGAATCGCAATTCAGTATTCTAGCAGTGTTTGAAATCGCATATCCAGATTTGATGATTTGAGTCAGTTACAGTGAAATCTGTAATTCGCCATACCCAGGGTATGGCATACAGGGTCATACAGTGTTGAGGTCAGTAGGGTAAGTCTAAAAATAGGATACCCTGTAAATCGCTGCATCTTGGTCATCAGTGGATACCTGTCTAACCCTAATTAGTCACTCTGTCTGATTGCCAATCAACACTAATTAGTCCAAGACTGCATCCTGTCAGTTGCTGATTCAGGATTTGCAATTATTGCTTGCAATTGTGGTGTTAGGGCAGGGATGGAAAAATCGTGAAATTGGTTTTTGCCTGAGTGGACTCTGAACTGACCCTGACCCTCAAGCGGTCTGCTGAGACTGAGCACTCACTTGCTCAAACTAACCAATCTTCTCTCTCCAGGCAGGTGACAACAATTGAATTAGTACTGCAGAGAACATTCAATTCCTGTTACCTCCTGCTCTGTCTTCAACTTTTGTTTGTTTTTATTTATCTGTATTATGGGGAGCAAAATGGCGGACTCAGGGAAGGCAGCGGTGCCTGAGGGAGTTGAAAGTTCTGGGGAGACACCCCAGGTAAAGCTTGAAATGAAAGTGCACACTGTAATACCTGTGCCGCCTGGCCTTTTAGAGGCTGAACTGCGGGCTACGCAGTTGAGACTCTAAAGGCAGAGCTCAAGAAGAAGGAAGAGGCTGCTAAGAAAGAGGCTAGGAGAAAGATCTTAATTGAAGACATGCAGAAGATCATGGGCAGCGGTTCTACCAGTCAGGTCAGTAAGGATATGGCATAATTCATCCTTTTACAAGATGATATTCACCGGTCCTACTTCACTAACTGGGATGACCGGATCTCTAGTCTGGAGACCAGCCATTCAGCTTTGTCTAAAAAGCTGGATGACATTTCTGCCCAGTTGAACAACATCGCGACACATCTGCAGATTGCACCTGTTCAGACTGTTCCTCCACCTTCTGGCCCTTCTGCAGCAGACACCAAAAGACCCCACAATCCAGACGTGCAACTCCACCCTTTACACCCAGATCAACAGCAGCTTCACAACCCTCGTCACCATTTGAGTTTCAGCGGCCTAAGCTGACACCCCCACCCATGTTCTCAGGTGAGGACCCAAAGGTGGATGTGGCAGACTGGGTTGCTGCACAGAGAACCTACTTGAGTGGGTTCAAATGTGGTGAGGATGTGAAGGTGTCAACCATCTTTGCTCGCTTGGAGCGATCAACACTGAAATGGTGCACCTCTACCTCTAGCAAGCAAGGTATGGAGATGGCTGATTGGGCGCAGAGGATGGGGGTGGCTGGATTTCTGCAGGCCCTGCAGGATCGGTTTGAAGACAAGGAGCAGGCCAGGAAGGCAGCAGACAAAATCATGCGCCTGGGCCAAAAAAAGTTTGATGGCTCCTTGTCCAAACTGTTTTCCACCTTTGAGAGTCTAACATCGACTCCTGGGTTGGAGATGAGTGAAAAAAGCAAAAAAAAAAAACAAAAACAGATATGCCGACAGACAGAGAACTGGCAGAACTCAAGACTGCACTGCACCCTTCAAAGCAACGACGTAGAATGCAGGCAGCGAAAAGAACGTATCGAAATCTGCAGTGCGAAGTATGCAGCTGAAATGTGCAGTGTATAGAGAACATGCAGAACTCAAAACTGCACTACACCCTTCAATGCAATGACATAGAATGCAGGCAGCGAAAAGAATGTATTGAAATGTGTAGTGCAAAGTGTGCAGGTGAAATGCTCTGTGTGAGCATCCATGTCAGCAACAGCAGTCATCGCAGATCATTCCAACAGCTGCACATGATGCGTACATGCGGGACACTGGGCTAGATAAGAAGCAAAGGTTTTTTTCTCCCATATATATATATATCGTCAAATAGAACTGCCCGGTAAACCGTAGGCATATATATATTGTCTTTCACTACCTTTCCTACCACCACTCCGAAGACCATAGCTAAGTCAGAGATGGGGGACGGCGATGGAGTGCCTTCACACAATACTGTCCACATTATAGTGGCTGTACAGTCCAAAATGTTAGTGCAATCCACAGTAAAAACAACAACAACAACAACAACAAAAAACAATAAGAATTTGGGAACCTCGGTTAGCTGCAGGGCACTCACGGACACATAGCTTGAGTGACCGTCGGGCTTTGCAAGGGCCTGGAAAGGGCTTGGAAATCTCTCTCTCTCTCTCTCTCTCTCTCTCTCTCTCTCAGCGCCTGATCAATTCCAGCTTGCTCTTTTCTCTCAGGGCCACAAGGACTGACGGTCCTTTGGCAGAGCAGCCCTGGACTTGGAGTCCAAACTCCATGTCCAGGAAGCACCTTCTGAAGGAAGGAAGGGACCCTCCTCCAAAGGGCGAAGAAGGAGAAAGGGTGCCCTGTTTGCTGCTGCAGCATCCGGATCAGATAGTGACGCAGCATCCTAGGGTGGGAGCCCTCCACCTGGGACTGCATCACCATCTGCTGCAGCTTCGCCCTGGCTGATGCTTTGATGGGCCTGACAAAGGGCAAGGCCCCAACCCAGAAAGCATCAACCAGTAGACAGGGGAAAGAAAAGGGACGTGCCTCTTCCCCTGGTGCCCAGAGAGTACCATTACCATGTGACGTCCGATGGCCAACTGACCCCCTTGATCCTTCCACCTTCCCCTGGCATGAACTCAGGATCCAGGAGGGAGTATGGAGGAAGAGGAAGGACAAGGGTGTCTGCCTGAGATGCGAGGGGGACCACTCTTTGAAGGATTGTCCCCATATGCCTCGAAGGCCTTCAGGCTCGAACTAGAGAGGAGAGAGGTGGAGTCTGCAACTCCCTCCACCTGTGCTGATTCATCGTCTGATGGAGTTGAATCTTCACCCTCTCTAGCTGGTTCATTTAGGAGTTGCAGCAGCAAGGTCCTTCACTTATGAGGGCACTGGTTTGTAGCAGATCTAGGGATGACACAAGTAAGGGCCGCAACACCTTTTACTTGTGACTAGACTTCTCTGAGGAGATGTTTCCTACTTCCCTGGACAAGCGTACTTGTGCTGCGCTGTCAGAACTTGCTGACTCCTTGTCTGTTAGACAAGTTGAGTCCTCGCATGACTGTCACTGACAGCCTGGGTGTTATGTTTTCATGCTTCCCCGTGTTGAGGTTGCTTGTTTTGCCCGCAATCTCTTATTGCAATCCTTCAGTTTAGAATGATAATTGTAGTTGAGAGCTATGGGCTCCCCTATATCACTCTACTGACCGATTGCACTGGTTCCATGTCTACTAGGGGTAAATACCCGGACCGACGACTATAGCTCCATGTCTAGGTACCTCAACTTTTCAGCATGGTCGATTGCATTATAGTCGGGTGCCAAGTCTTACTGTGGTCATTTCACGCAATCGAGACCAGCTGACACTCTGAGTTCTCCTTCTCCTTACATCACTGGTTATAGTGTTGGTCATGAGTATAGGAGACCAGATTGCAACAATAGGGCGTCGCCTACGGAACCTCAACTTTTCAGAAGTGGTCGATTGCGCGACAGTCAAGGACCAGGTCTTACCGTGGTTTCTTGATGCAGTTGAGACCAGCTGACACTTTGAGGTTACCTCCTCTTGACCTTGCTGTTCGCAGCTTTGACCAGGGGCATAGGTTACCCCGCGAGTCTCTCAGGTTCTCCTCTTCAGGTAAGAGTTCTATCTCTACACTCACTTCATCTGCTGGTTCATTACCAGGAGATGAAGTATAGGCGCAGAGGTCCGCTCTCCCTGGGGGGGTAAGTATGTAATGAAGCCTGCAGATTCTCAGTGGATTGTACATTGGGCCGAGGGCGAAGCTCGGGGCTTGCCTCGGTCGGGTCGCGTCGTAGGTTAGATTCGTAATTTTGTTTGGCTGAGGGCTAACCGAGAGACCTATCTGTAAGGAAAATTCGTGATGGACATATCTGCAAATTCGGGAAAATACAGGCCCATACTAACTGAATTTCCTACAACTACCCTAACTGCGTATAGCAGGCCCGGGCTACCCCTAGAACAGACAAGCCCTATGGGCCTATTCTGAATAGACGGTCCTATAGCCTATAGCCGGGTCCGGTAGAGGCCGAGAGGCCGAAATACAAATGGTACCGGTCGGTCAGTTAGTCCGGTCTAGGTCGAGTCTAGGCTAGTTAGAGCCTATAGATAGATTGGGCACATCGGTTCAGGGCTTTTTGGCAGTTGGTACCGTGTACATCGCTGCTACGCTACGCGTGAACAAGAAGTGGTGACGGCTCAGCGTGGAAGGAGACGGGCATAGCCAGACCTTCGGAGTGCAGGCCATAGCTGTGACCTGCGCTGTACTCTGCCAGCACGTAGGGGATGACAGAGGTCTGGGTTATCGATGTCTGCTGGAGGCGAGAGAGATTGGTGCCCTGCTGGACCCTCCTCCGGAGTGGGGTCCCAGAGGGTTTGCGCTGCAGCCATAGCTGTAGTTTCTTCAACTCAGAGGTCATCTTGTTAGGGTTTGGTGGCGCTGCTGCAGACTTCCATCCGGGAAGTCTTCCGACACTTCGTCATCATCAGATACTGTGGTGCTGATCTTCTTCTTCATCCTCTGAGTGGCGCTTGGCCTCAGAGGCCTGTTTCAGGGTGGCGCTGTCCTCAGAAGGCTGTATCTGGGTGGCGCTTGATGTTTTAGGGACTGAGGGGTGTTACGGGTGCTAATCAGGGTTGGGGAGTGAAGCGCTGCTCATTTCTGAGCAGCGCACTGTAGTACTGAGGTTATCCTGACAATTCGAGACTTTGAGTTTAATAAATAGTGTGATACTGTGCTTGGACCATCATCGTTTCATTGTTCTCTGGATGTGATCTGCTCGGCTTTCCTCTATGACTGGTTGTGAGGATTGAATGGAGTGAATTGCACTTTCAGTGTACCCTGCTATATCGCATGGTGAAGTCTTCCGCTGTGTTTATCTCTCCCTGTGTGGTGTGATACTCCTATCCTCTCCGCTTCCTTCTTTGTATGTATGGGCATACCTGAAAGTCTATGTGAGTGAGTGTTGGCCTACAGGCAACGAACAACCAGAATCATAACATCTGCCTCCCCCTCCTCTCCTTCTCTCCCCTCCCCTCCTTTCTGCCTTTGTCCTGTGTGAGTTCAGAATTATGCCCCGCCTTCGTCCTCTTGTCGTGTTATATGCACCACTCTTTCCCTCGTCCTCTCCCCTTTTTCCTCCTCCCTCTGGCTGCCCTCTGTTTCCTCTCTTCTTTACCCCATTCCCCCTTTCGTCCTCCTCAGTGTGTGTTCAACCTCTTTTTTTTTTTTTTTTTTTTTGAAGTCGACAACCTTGCAGTATTGTCATCGAACTGATCGTTAACTGATCGGGCGCAGGTAATTCAGAGTTATTTTATTCATCCGATTATCAGGATTTGAAATCAGGTCTGTTCATCAACAGTTCATGGGTATACCGTGCACCCACATCATGGGCCACATGGGCTGTGTATCTCTCCTTTTTTTTTTCAATGTTCTCTCTTTCTTTTTTCCCATGTATTTCCTTACCTGTTTTTAGTTTTCTTAATTTTTTTCCCTTCCCTGTACATGCATCCACATCGGATGCGTCAAAAAAAAAAAGGGCTGCGCTCTTTGGTCCTGTGGATTGTCCTTCTGCCTTGCCATGGGCTTCCCTCAAGTTTCTCCTTCAACTTCTTTTCCCTTGTTCCTTGCTGTCTTTCTCTTTCTCCTTTTACAGCCTCCTCCTCCTCCTCCTCACAACTAGCTATTCTTACCCTCTACCGCATTCCCCTTGCTCATGAA